ATAGCCACAAGTTCCATCTCGCCGTAACACTTACATTGGCCTAGCTGTTCCCTACGACGTGTAACAGTCGGGAAGCGCCTGGTCGCGGTTAGAGCCGCGATAGCGGGCAACGTCAGGAGGCAGGACAGAGTAGAAGGTTCATCTATATGTGATGTGCAGACAAGAGCATCAAATATTAAGTAGTTATTATAAAGATGCATCAAGACAAAGAGAGAGATCGGGGGGAAGGGCATTAATAGCGCCAGACCAGATAATACAACAAAATTCAGCCTCAACATTATTCATACCTAGGGCGATTTAAGGATATAGGAGGTCTATAACGCTATGATAGGCGATGTCCGAATCGTGAAGAAGCACGAGGTTAAGGGAAGTATTAATAGTGCTGATGTACACCTGGGGCAGATAGTACCGGATAAATGTTGGATTCTAATATACGGGTCGCGCCGTGCATTAGAGAAGCAGAGTTTAACGAATTAATCATCGTGTGCTCAAATAGACCTTAGCAGATCATTTTACCTGCTTCCTCCTATAAGTGAACATAAAACTGCTATCTAAACTTAAGAGCAAGCGATAAGAGAGTCAGAGACGATTCCCACTGATCATGCCAAGAGAATATTCGAAGATGATCCGGCGCGTGTCGCATGTAAATGTAAACCCCCAGTTATCGGTCCGGAGCGGTCGGAACGGCGCGTGAGCGAGTGATATTGGAGGCGGATCACCGCCGCAGTGCCAGCCGTCGAGGTTGGTAACGTGATTGATCCGACTAGCCGTAGGTCTCGTACAGGCGTAGAACAACAGGGGCAGACGAGAGACATAAGCGAGAGACAGTACGCCATCGACCGGAGAAAGCCGGGTCACAACAGGCGCGTAGCAGAATATAAATAAAGCTAGGGAACAGAAGGGGACAGCCGAGTGCCGCGAAGACAGTGCCGACGGTCGAGCCGAACCACAAAACCACTATGGCATATACGTAAATATGGTTCCTTTCTATGTAGTTACTTACACAGTACGTTACTTATCGAGTAAACGTTATCGGTTGGTTTGGTTATAGGCAGCACGTGAACATTCTCAGTCGGTAGAGCAGGATTACAGTAAACGTCATGTCGGTATGCTAGGATATTGCCCGTCCCGATCTCTGATCAGCGTACCTACTTCGATTATTATGGTGTTGTCTGGTTACCCTCTATCTAGTGAGTGTATCCAATTCTCACCGCGATGCGTTCCCTCGGATCGCTGATCACGCTGGAGTTCTCGAGTTGAGATGTCCTCCGACCCTGCTAGAGCGCTGTCCACGACACCGCTACACAGTCCTTGTATTATGAGAGCTGTGGATCACACTGTTAACTCATCCATTACTGTGAAGAAGCGAGAGCGCCAAGTAAGTATGTCCTCGGAGCGAATTGCAAGTACCAACGAGGAGGGGCGGTCCGCGAGCGAAGTCGCATGTTTATTGAAGTGTACGTGTGTAAGTCGGCGTGGATTTGGTTTAATAAATATCGCTATTGCGTGTCCCGTATCCTAAAATTACGTGTTGCTTGCGTATCAACGAGTGTATCTTATTATCAATGCGATTGGTTATTGCCTTCGCAAGGTGCTAAAACATAACATACCGCACACCCGTCGCGCGGAGCTTCATTAAAGAAGCACCGGTGGACATTAAAATGATTGCCGCGCGGTAACCAGATATAAAATTTCAGTCACTGTGATACGTAGCGCTAACGCCTATGAGTGAGTCTAATCCGATTGTTTTTCAGCATTTATATGCACCATTCCGTTTCAGAAATCGCAGGCGCCCAGGGGTTAACGGTAGTAAAGGGGTTTGAGGTAAGCTTTTGGGGACGCTAGAGCTAGGCCGTACGATGGCGCAAGGATAAATATCGCGGAGATAATCGTTCAGATTATGGACAGGCACTGAGCCATCCTAAAGTTGGATGAGAGAGATAAGAGATGAATGAAACTTACAGGGGAATACGGGGGGGGGAGATTACGGAAAATTTTACGCGGCGGTACCATGCCGAAGCCGTAGATAGCATGAAATTAGGAATATGGATGGCAGTTGGAGGGAAATAGCGAGGGTTGTCGCGCTCGGCGCTGGGCGGGCGAACGCGCGATTTAAAAAGAGCGCTCTTTAGATTGACGACGGCGGGTTGGCTTACGCATTTTTGCATCGACAAACAAGTGAGAACTCGCGATAGGGGTGAGGAGCTGATAGAGCTGATGAGGGTGAGATTCGGGGAATGCAGTGTCGAACGACTAGCTGCCGAGACAGGCATTATGAAAAGCGATCGGGCAGAAAGCGGACGACGACCGATCCAGGATATACGAGGAATTCGCCATCGCGCAGGCGCGCCTGGGTGGGGTGTGGAGTGGTACGGCCTAAACTGCCCGGCGGCCCGTGGGGCCGAGCAGTAGGACCAGGCGGGGGGGGGGATCTCCTGCGGGTCGGTCCTGGATGCAGGACCTTTAGTGCGAGTGGTATTTATTCAGGAATGCGGCCTTGGCTAAGAAGGCGATTAAAGGAAACTAATCGCAAGGGATCCCGAAGAGCCCTCAAGACAGCGGACAAAATTATGCGAGCGGTGAAGATACCGGCCTAGATCAAAGATGCGGTAGCATGAGGAAGGAGAAGTCCCGATGGATAGTTAATAGCGTCACGCAAGGAAGGGGAAGTCAAATTGAGGCAGATGTAA